CATCTGAACAACATGTGTTTAAGGAATGGTCAAGGTCTGTTCATTCCTGAGAAAATCTCTCCCTAGCAACAATCGCAGCGAGGGCCAGGATTAAGAGCTTGCCTGGATTTCCAGAGGCCTGGCACACAAAACACTTGCTTGGTATACAAAGAAAGATTTGTGCTTGATGGGCAGGGTGGAGGAGTGGAAATTTCCTTGCTGTGGGGTTTGGGGTGGGGCTGTCAGTGGGCCAGAAGGATTCTGGCTGAGCCTGCCTGCCTGCCTCCTCTAAGTATCCCAAGATCTTTTCCCCAAGAAGGGGAGGATCCAGCAGCAATTAAAAAGGGAGACGGCTGCCGTTTATCATGCTTTTGAAAACAATGTGAAAGAACACACAATGCGCCCTGTGTCCCCGTCCCCCCGCCCAGGGTTTTGTCTGTTTTTTGCAACATCCCTGATTCTGCCCCTGCCTTTTCCCAGAACCACCCCCGCCCTGACCTCTAATATATCTAATCACGTTAAATGGTCTGCTTCTATCCGGCACGCACCTTTGCCTGACCCGGCTCCACCAAGAACTCGCAGTCCCCGGCGACCACGTCGGAATTTCTGCAACTCGTTCGCCCGACTTTAACGTTGAAAATGTACTTGATCCCGGCAACAAGCTGTGAGACACACAAAATGGATCGTTATAGAGAGAATTTCAGTAGCCAACACCGATGCTCCCTCTAAGCTGTGGAGTCTTGTGAGCAAAAATTCTACTCTGTGAGCTACTGGCATGAAATCTGTGAGCGAGCGATTTGGCTACTGCATAAATTAGTTGGCCCTGGAGTCATCCTTCCTGAGCGAAGACAAAAATTTGTGAGCCGGAGGCTGAAAAACTGTGAGCTAGCTCACACTAACTCAGCTTAGAGGGAACACTGGCCAACACAAAAGGGAGACGGGCCCAGTTGTGAAAGAGATGCTGAAACTTGGTATGTTTGTAGGTAGCACTCAGAGGAAGGAAGGCCCCCCCTCAAAATGTCCCCCAGACCACTGGTCACTCCTGTTGAAGGGGGGGGGGGAGACTGGAGCCATTTGTACTTGGTCTTTCCATTTCAAACAGGCTACAATGCTTTTTCTCTTACGCCTGGATTGTTATTGCTCTGTCATGGGTCCCCTGGAACCATGTCTGGAATTTTGAGGAAGGGACCAAATCCTACCAGAAAGACACCTGCCACAAGGGATACTCGAGTGTTTTTCCTTCCCTGGTTCTGTGTGTCTATCGATTAAATATATTTGAGAGCCAGTGGCTGTGGGCTCTTTCACCCAGGTTTTGTCTCTCGCCAGGCAAAAAACGATGGTTTTAGTTTTGTAGCAGGGCCACGGAATCCTCCAGATTGCAGTTCCAAGCCAAAACTAAACTAACATTGATCCAGCTAAAACAAATGTGTCTGTATGTGTGTGTGTGTGGGGGGGGTAGATACCATTTCCAAATCTTTGCAGGTTCAGAGACTCCAGTAGGGGCAACCAATGTTCCCTCTAAGCTGTGGAGTCTTGCGAGCAAAAATTCTACTTTGTGAGCTACTGGCATTAAAGTTGTGAGCGAGAGATTTGGCTACTGCATACATTAGTTTGCTCTGGAGCCCTCCTTCCTGAGCTAAGACAAAAACCTGTGAGCTGGAGGCTAAAAAACTGTGAGCTAGGGGGCAACCAGCTGATTTTGACTCTGGGTAATCGATAGATTTTATCCGGGGGCTGCTCTGAAGGTACTCCGTGTACACTACGTGGATGGGGAAACTTCCCCGGCTGACTGCGAGAGCATAAATTCTTCTCTCTCTTCCTCCTCTTTCACTGCAGAAAACTTTCCCTGCAGACACTGACTCTGGTTTACTTTCACTTCCTTCTTATTTACTTTTACTTCTCCTAGTGAGAGACCAGCCTTCCCCTCCCTTCCGCAGCTGCTATTGTGTGGAAGTCGTTTTTTAGCCAATCTCCCCGCCACAGACCCAAGACAATCGGAGCCAAAGCAAGGATAAAGCTAATCCCATCATCTGTCAGATAACAACAGATGCACCAATAGCGGCCCTGAATACTGTGCTATCAGAAGACCCCCTGCATTCTCTGACGTCTTAGTAAAAGCCCTGTGGAATTTCCTGCCACAAGAGACGACAGGAACCATCAGGCTTTCACAAGGACTGGACAAAGTCCGGGGGGAAAGTCCACTTGCTGTAATAACTAAGTGGGAGATCTAGGCCCAGCCGGAAAATACCTCTGCACCCCCAGATCCAGGGGCCCGCCCACTGGGCAGATCCAAGGTCTTTTGCTGAGGGGGGAGGCAGTGCAGCCAGTCTATTCAGAGGCCGTGGCTGGCAGCAGCAAGGGGAACCAACAGGTGGGCTGCTTCTAACCGGACAAGGACAGGTACCCATCAAACTCTGGCTGGCCCAGCCCTGAAGCAAGTCACAGGCTTCGTTTTGGTGTGTAGGAACTAATCAGAATGAGAAAAAAGACACTTCTGTGAATTGCCAAAATGACACTTAAAGATAAAGGTTCCCCTTGCTCGAAAGCCAGTCGAATCTGACTCCAGGGTTGCGGTGCTCATCTCCATTTCCAAGCCGAAGAGCCAGCGCTGTCCGAAGACGTTTCCGTGGTCATGTGGCCGGCATGACTAAACACCAAGGTGCATGGAACGCTGTTCCCTTCCCACCGAAGTGGTACCTATTTATCTACTTGCAATCTCTTGCTTTCGAACTGCTGGGTTGGCAGGAGCTGGAACTAGAGACAAGAGCTCACTCCGTCATGTGGCAGACTCGGGTCTCGAACTGCTGAACTACCGACCTTCCACAGCCTGCAGTTCAGCGTCTTAACCACTTGAGCCACCGCAGCTAAATGACACTTAGCTTGAAAGTAAAAAAGGGGGGGGGGGGGGAAGTGGGGGAAGAGAACCTGCTACCAGAGATAGGGAAAAGAATGACGTCTGGCTCCGGTTTTGGTCTCAGTGGATCGCCCTGACATCTTCCTGTGTTGACATTCCCAACTATCGCGAACTAGCCACCACTCAACCGGCATCAACCGAAAGGGCCTTCCCTGCATCCATACTGGAGGAGGGGGAGATGGTTCATGGGGACCCCTCTTTTTGGGTGCCTTCTGCTCAAGCAGCATCCCCCAACCCTCCCTAATGGCGGCCCCTCCCCCTCCCATTGCTCTCTTGCGTATTTTGGAGACCAAGATCTGACCCTGGAAACAGCATCTTCCCTGTCGTACATCAGCTGACATTTTTCTTCACCGCACAGACATGATGATCAAGTAAAAAAAAAAAATCCCAATGGTTACTAAGAATTGGGGAGGAGGGAGATTAGAGGGAGGAATGGAAAGGGTGGCCAAAGGCTAGAAAAGTCACCTCTGCCTGCAAAGGCATGTCGCAAATTCAATGTTCCCTCTAAGCTGTGGAGTCTTTTGAGCAGAAATTCTACCTTGTGAGCTACTGGCATTAAAAGTTGTGAGCAAGCGATTTGGCTACTGCATATATTAAGTTTTCCTCTAAGCTGTGGAGTCTTTTGAGCAGAAATTCTACCTTGTGAGCTACTGGCATTAAAAGTTGTGAGCAAGCGATTTGGCTACTGCATATATTAAGTTTTCCTCTAAGCTGTGGAGTCTTTTGAGCAGAAATTCTACCTGTGAGCAAAAATTCTACTTTGTGAGCGACTGGCATTAAAAGTTGTGAGCAAGCGATTTGGCTACTGCATATATTAGTTTGCTCTGGAGCCATCCTCCCTGAGCTGAGACAAAAGTCTGTGAGCTGGAGGCTAAAAAACTGTGAGCTGGCTCACACTAACTCGGCTTAGAGGGAACACTGGTCGCAATGCCACTGGCATGGGGGGGGGTCCATAGTTGGAGGGGGCAGCTTTGTGTGATGTCTGTGGACATCTTGAAAGTACCTAGTTAGACACGGCATAAAATGGAACACTGAACTAGATGTGTGCCAAGTGTTCCCTCTAAGCTGAGTTAGTGTGAGCTAGCTCACAGTTTTTTAGCCTCCGGCTCAGACATTTTGGTCTTAGCTCAGGAAGGAGGGCTCCAGACCAAACGAATTTAATGCAGTAGCCAAATTGCTCGCTCACAACTTTAATGCCAGTAGCTCACAAAGTAGAATTTTTGCTCACAAGACTCCACAGCTTAGAGAGAACTTTGGCCAAGGTTATGGTTTGCCCAGGGGGCCAAAGTGTCATTAAGTACTTCATAATTCTGAAAACGAATGAAACATACATACATACATACATACATATACATATATACATATATACATATATACATATATATATAAAAACATTTTTTAAAAAAGTCAGGCCAGCCCTGAGTGGCAGGCCAGCTGCCAGTGCAGACAGGACGGAGACCCTCTGGCGCACCTCACTTTCTGGAGCCCTTGCTCGGGTTGCCACCTCTAGGTCGGGTAAATCCTGGAGCTTTGGGGGGGGTGCAGTTTGGGGAGTGGGGGGGTTTGGAGAGGGGAGGGGCTTCGGCAAGGCAGAGTCTTCGAGGCCCACCCTCTGAAGCAACCGTTCCTCCCCGGGGGAACTGATCTCTGCCGTCTGGAGTTCCCTCGCAATAGCAGGTGGTCTCCAGGCCCCGCCGGGAGGGTGGCAACCCTCGCCACGGCGCCCCCCTCCCCATGTCTATCAATCCCAGGGGCCGTTCCCAAAGGGAGGCAGAGAGCAGTGTTCCCTCTAAGCCGAGTTAGTGTGAGCTAGCTCACCATTTTTTAGCCTCCGGCTCGCCCATTTCGGTCTCAGCCCAGGAAGGGAGGGCTCCAGTGCAAACGGATTGATGCAGGTGCAAAATGCCAGGAGCTCACACTTTAGAATTCTGGCTCACAAGACCCCACAGCTCAGAGGGAACACCGGCAGAGAGGAAGCGGACCGCCCCCCGTCCCCCCGGCGTTCCTCCCACCTGCTTGTGGACGCTGACGACCTGGGCCACCCGGCTGCGGAAGGCGTCGTTGCTGCCGCGGTTGTAGCGCTCCATGGCGAACTGGAGGGCCCGCTGCGCCTCCGCGTCCAGGGTGGCCTCCACGGGCGCCCCCACCAGACCCGGCCGGCCCAGCGCCAGGGCGCCGCTCAGCAGCACCAGGCCGCACACGCCCAGCCAGCACCCGCCGCCCGCAGCCATCGCGCTCGCCCGCCTCGGACTCGTCGGGACCAGCAAAACTCGCGCCGCGCACCGTCGAAGCGCTCCCGATGCTGCTGCTGTTGGAGAGGCGATGGCGACGCAGCCGCCCGGTCCGTGGGGTTTTGTGGGCGGCTGCAGGAGGAGGAGGAGCTTTTTTCCAGCAGCAGGAGCAGGAGGAGGAGGAGGAGGAGGAGGAAGGGGCCTCCGCCAATGCTGACTCACCCGCCCTCGTGCTTTGCCGGCCCGCCGCGCCCGAGTCACGCTGGCGCGCACGCGAGCCCGGCCACAGACAACATTAAGTTATACAGGTTTTTAAAGTGACGCCACATTGTACCTTGGCAATAGCACATGTTACGGCCGAAATCACCGGCTGCATATGACGGTTCTTGGTGGTTATTGATGAAGCATTTCATGTACTTAGAAGCATTGCAGAATGCCTTTTTGGACCTACCGTTGACTGTTAAAGCAATGGGTGCCTCACTGATTGGCCCACCCTAAGCAAATTTATTATTGCTACTTATTGTTTCCTAAGCAAACTTAACATAAACCACTCTACTAGCACTGGTCAGTTAATAGCAGCAATATCCCTTACAGGGTTGTTGTGAAAACAGACAAGAAGAAACTGCTGTAACACTAGAGTAGGAAAGTAATCCTCTTCAACAAATTGGAAGTGTATCAAAATGCCTTATTGGTGCGGTCCATTGACTTTTAAAACAATGGATGCCTCCCGGCTCGGGTCCAATTGCACTTTTAAAACAATGGATGCCTCCCGGCTCGGGTCCAATTGCAACGGTGGGAGTAGTTCTTTACGGACACCAAGAGGTTAAGAGCACGGGGCCAGATCTTCGCTAGTGCTGTTGGACACCCTGGGGAATCTCTGGATATAACCTTTAGCCTGGACTACTCCAGGCCTCAATTTCGGAGCTTTCGGGGTTATGTGGTTGCCTGAAGATCCGAAGCAAATGAACCATGTCTGTTTAATAGTGACTGAATGCATGAAGATGCATAGGGGGGGTGGCCCGGCGCCTGAGCCGCTCGCCCGGGTTGGCGCAAGCGGCCGTCCGATGCCCGGAGGGCGGCGCCTGCTTGGCCGGCCGGCCGGCCCCTTGCAGCATTTCACGCGGGTTGCCGAGTCCAGTGTTCCCTCTGAGCTGAGTGAGTGTGAGCTAGCTCACAGTTTCTTAGCCTCCGGCTCACACATGTTTGTCTCAGCTCAGGAAAGATGGCCCCAGAGCCGGCTAATTCATGCAGTAGCCAAGTCGCTCGCCCACAACTTGAATGCCAGCAGCTCACAAGGTAGAAGCTTTGCTCACAAGCAGGGCTGGATTTAGACTTGCTGAGGCCCTAAGCTATACAAAACCCAGAGGCCCCCTACTGTTTTAAATTACATCAGCTGGTCTCAGAAAAATTTAGTATATATATGCCTTTTTAATATTTGAAATCATTTTTTATATTGTGTTTTTATTTGAGGCCCCAGCAGATTGCGAGGCCCTAAGCTGTAGCTTATTTAGTTTATGCGTAAATCCGGCACTGCTCACAAGACTCTACAGATTAGAGGGAACATTATTGCAACTACGGCTTGGGAGAGACTGAGAAGTCGGGAGAGTTCATCCTCCAAAGGAGCCAGTGTTCCCCCTAAGCTGAGTGAGTGTGCGCCAGCTCACAGGTTTTTAGCCTCCGGCTCACACACTTCTCAAGAAGACTCCTGAGAGCCCCTTGGACTGCACGGAGATTAAATCAGTCAATCCTAAAAGAAATCCACCCTGACTGTTCCCTGGAAGGCCAGATAGTGGAACTGAAGCTCAAAGACTTTGGCCACCCAATCAGAAGGGAGCACTCCCTGGAGAAGGCCCTGATGCTGGGAAAGACTGATGGTCAAAGAAGACGGTCAAAGCAATGGTATTCCCAGTAGTCATGTATGGCTGCGAGAGTTGGACTATAAGGGAGGCTGAGCGCCGAAGAATAGATTCTTTTGAACTATGGTGCTGGAGAAGACTCTTGAGAGTCCCTTGGACTGCAAGGAGATCAAATCAGTCAATCCTAAAAGAAATCAACCCTGACTGTTCCCTGGAAGGGAAGATAATGAAACTGAAGCTCAAATACTTTGGCCACCCAATGAGAAGGGAGCACTCCCTGGAGAAGAAGACCCTGATGCTGGGAAAGATTGAAGGTCAAAGAAGACGGGGACGGCAAAGGATGAGATGGTCAGTGTCATCGATGCAACGAACATGAAGTTGAGCAAACTTCAGAGGACGGCAGAAGACCGGAGGGCCTGGCATGATCTGGTCCATGGGGTCGACTGTGCGACTGAACAACACGAAATAGGTGGAAGCTGATCCAGGGGCTGGATTTGTAGGAACATTGTCAGGCGTCCCCATCGCTCTCCCTGTTTGCCCATGCGGCCCCAGATCCAGTCATCATGAGATCTGCAGCAGTGCTACCTGATAATGCCAGGGAGTTCTAGAAATCCCCCCTGGCCTTTCCATCCCCATTGGTAGCCAGTGTGAAGCGTGTTACACCCCTCGTCATTCTCCATGTGAGCTTGGCCAGGCACAGACAGCCAGTCTTGGGTTACGTGGGATCAACCGTTCCGTCCTATGCCATGAGCTCATTAGAGGGTTTCTGTCAAATTACTCCAACCACTTTATTTCCCCATTTACAAAGCAGCACTTGTTGCACTGCATGTTAGACGCAGAAGTCTAATTATGAGGGCAAGCAAAGAAATGACACAGGGAAATTAGCTTCTGAAACACTGCCAACAGATGGGCAATCCAGGTGTGTGCACAGAGAAGCCTAACGCCCACAGCTTCATCATCTTGTCCATAAAGATCTCCTACAGGGCTACCACATTTTATCCTGTCCTCCTTTCCAGGGAGCTACGGGCAGTGCACATGGGTTCACTCTCATTTGGGCCTGTTATATGGGGCAACAGGCAGTTTCAGCAATCCCCAAGAGCTGACTGCACCTGTCCTACCCAAGCCCTTTGAAGTGGAGTTGCTCAGGATACATACAAAGTGTGCGTTCGGGGACTGGGCTATGGCCTCTACTCCAGTTTCCAGCACATATGGACTTTGACGACAGAGGCAGCCATTACAGTGACCGTATGTAGTGTACATAAGAACATAAGAGACGCCAATGTTGGATCAGGCCAAAGGCCCATCCAGTCCAACACTCTGTGTCACACAGTGGCCAGAAATACCAGGTGCCATCAGGAGGTCCACCAGTGGGGCCAGGACATTTGAAGCCCTCCCACTGTTGACCCCCCCAAGCACCAAGAAGACAGAGCATCACTTGCCCCAGAGCCCCTGTCTATATCTTGTGGCTAATATCCACTGACGGACCTCTGCTCCATATCCTTATACTAATAGCCAAGTTGCCCCCTCCGTGCGGATACTTAAATCAGCACGGAGGGAGCAGCTGGGGGGCCGGGGGAGGTTTGTGCACACGTGGGCCAATCCCCACGTGTGCACAAAAATAAAAAAAATTCGGGGGGATGTTTAAATCCCCCCGAAAGTGCAAGAGCGTCTCCTGCGCGTGCGCAGGAGACGCTCTGCTAACGCTGTTGCCGGGGAGGGGGGGA